CAAAGGCTCTGGGGCCTGCAGGAGCTGGCCTTAGATGAGGCTGGCACCCATATTGCCTTTCTGTTGCCTGGAAGGAAGCCAGGGCTGCAGAGGGTGAGGAATTACCTAAAGTCTGAGGGTTAACTGGTTCTCAAGCTCCTTCTAAATGCCATTCTCTTCCTGGTAAGCCAGACCTCTGTCTCCTTCTGGGTGGGACCGTATTTGAGGATGTTTTTGCCATTTCCCCTTCTCCACCAGGAAAACCACTGGCCTGAGAAACTCAACTGCATTTCATATCTGCATGTGGGTGAGCTAGTTCTCAAGTTTAACTTTTATCTGCATGATCATTGCAGTCATATCTGATACTTGGTTTTTCTTTGAAAACTCAAATCAATAGGTTTAATAAATGATATACACTTCATCAACATAACTGAGTGCCACAATGTCATATCCAAAAAGACAGGGAAATGTGTGAAAATGAACTGTACACAAAATGGTATACAGGGTAGAGTCCTAATTTTATTTTTGAAAACATAAATATACAACACAAAATTTCTGAAGGAAATACACCAAATCATTGATCATAGGTCTCTAGGTAGGAGGATGGAAATGCTAGTGACTGATTACTTCTTAATGTTCTTCTAAACTTTCTGTATTGTCTAGAATACATGGAAATGGAATTTATAATCAGAAAACTATGAGTTTTGTTTTTTACAAAAGAAAGATGATAACCAAAATACCCCAACACTCAGATATCCAGGATTTGGTACCACTGAAAACCCAGAACTGCCCCAGCTTACTGGTGTCCTTGAAAGAGTCGTTTCCCTTCAATATCTGCAACTAAAAACTCAAAGGAATTAACTTCATCAGTAGTTTTCTCAGAACTATTCCTACAGATCTCAAAAGGTTTTTATTGCTATTGTAAGTTATATTTTAAAATTTACATTTCATAATGTATTGATGGTTATTGAAATGTGGTTGGTTTTTATACAATAATCTTGTATTCAGCAAACTGGAACTCCTTTTTAATTCTAACAAGTTTATTGGCTCTCTTGAATTTTCTGTGTAAATAATTATAGAGTCTATAAGCAATAACATTTGATACCTTCCTGCCCAGCCTTTATTTCCTTTTCCTTATTTTACTGCATTGACTAAAATGTTCAGCACAAGGCTGAGTAGAAGTGATGAGTGGGCATTTCTCTCTTGTTCTTGATTGTCTCTAATATGCCACCATTAAATATGCTGTTTGTTGTAGATTTTTGATAGATGCCCTTTATTGGTGTAAGGAAACACTATTTTTATTCCTTATAAAGCACTGCTTTATTATGAATAGGTGTTGAATTTTATCAAATGTGATGTAATGAATTTTCCACTAATGTAATGAATTACAATTACGGATTTTATTAATATTAAACCATCCATGCATTCCTGGAATAAATATAGCTGATGAAGTGTTATTTTTTCAATATGGTGCTGGATTCCATTTGCTAATGTTTTATTTAGGGTTTTTGCATCCATATCTTGATATACCTATTTTCCTTTCTTATTCTCTCTTTGTCTGGTTTTGCTATCAAAGCTACAAAAGCCTCATAAAATAAGTTTAGTAATGGGTGTCTATTCACTAGAGCAGCTTTTGTAAGACTGGGATATTCTGTAGGTTGGATTTTCTAAAGGATTCTCCTATAAACCATCTTGGTTTAGAGTTTGGGGGTAGAAAGTGTTTACACTTTACTCTCCAACCCACAACATTCAATCTGGCCTCAGGGCCCACCTCTCCACCTAAATAGCTTGTGAGGGGCCCCCAGAAATCTCCTTGTCGCTGAATCCAAAAGAAACTCCCCGGATCTCCCACCTCAGGCCTCACTGCAGTAACGCTACTGACCACACCTCCTGGAGGAAGACAGTCTCTTCCAGACCCTGTGCTGGTTTCCCCTCTTCCTCTGCAGCTCCTCCTCCCAGACTCATGCAGATGCTCCTGTTTGCTCCGCCATTCGCTTGCCTCCATCTACACCTCTGTGGACTGGCTCTATGGATTCCATGATGGTCTCTAAGCCAAAAGATGCCCACATCCACACCTGCAGCCGACCTCTCTCCTGAATTCCAGACCTACTGTGCTGCCTACTCTCCAGCCCCGACTATGTGGCTGCTCAGTGCTTTTACCCTCTGAATCCTCTCTATTGCCACATAATAAATTATCCCAAAGTTGAAGGACTGCAAACAAAAATATCGCTTATCTCACAGTTTCCATGGGCCAAGTATTTGGAAGCAGGTTAAGAGGTAGCAGGTCTTGCTGTCTGGATGTCAGCTGGGGCTTCAGTTAGCTGAAGCCAAGGGATAGGGCTGGGGAAGTCACTTCCAAGCTCAGTCAGTTCTTTGCAGGAAACCATAGTTCCTCTTCACACAAGCCTCTCCCAAAAACACTGCAGCTGGTGTCTCCGTGGGCAAGTGATCTAAGAACAAGACAGAAGCCACGGTGTCTTTTATAACCCAGCCTTGAAAGTGACATACCCACAGTCTCTCGGTCGGGCAGAGGAAACCCATCTCAGCAGGAGAGGGTGACACACAGGAAGGGGATCCCGGGAGGAGGGGTCATCACTTACCTTGCAGGCTGCCCACTCCGCCCTCACAACGACTCAGAGGGCAGATTCCCCACGTCACCCTGTGGCACGATGAGAGCCCTAAGGCCAGGAGCAGAGGTGTCACTGATCAAGGCCACACAGCCGCGTGTGTGAGAAAAGAGACTTGGACACAGCTCTGCCTGGCCCCCCATGGCTTCCTCCTCCTCACAGCCATCCTCTGGTGGTCTGCAACCAGTTTCCTCACCATCAGCATGTACAGACTGGACCCCTCTCGCCTAACCATGCCCAAACCCCCCAAGTCGCTGGCATAGCAGATGGTGCCACCGTCCTCCCATCTGTCCAAACCAGAGGCTTTGAGTCATGCCTGCTCTTCCCGCCCCCTCACTTCCCAGCACCAGAAAACCCAGCCCTGCCAAGCCTCCCCTCCTTGCTTCTCATCTCCACCATCCTCGCGCCGGGCCAAGCCACCAGCTTGCCTGTCCTGGACATCTGCAGTGGCTCCTCCCTGCCACCCCCACCATTCTCTCTGCCTCCACCCTCCCCGTCCCTCCTCTCAAGCCTGAGTCACCCTGAAGACCGTGAGGAACTCGGAGCTGCTTGGGCCCTGCCGCCTGCTTTAAACTCCTTTGATGGCCCCCACTGTCCTCAGGACCCTGCCCCGGGCCGCTCTCCAGCCTTCCCCTCTGACCCTCTTCTCTCTCTCGGGGCCCAGCCCCTCTAGCCATGTTTCAGCATCCAGGAAGCACAGCGCTTTTCTTTACCCCAGGGCCTTTGTGATGCTGTTACCTTAGTCTAGAACACTCGCCTCCCTGGCATGCCTTCAGCACACTGGCGTCTCTCAGAGAGGCCTTTCCTGACCTCCCAGCTGGGCCTTAACTGTAGTCCCCAGCTATAACCTCCACGGTGCCTCATCTTCCCTGAGGCTACCTCACGCCTTCTCAGTTGCACCATGAGCATCCTGAGAGCCAAAGCTGTGTCTGGCTGGCTCATGACATCACTTTAGAACCTCACATGGCACCTGCCACTTCACATGTGCTCAACAGCTAGGGGCCTGTTGGGTGCACTCTCTCCGCAGCTCCTCCCCCCTTGCCCTCCACAGTCCAGCCACTGGACCATGTCCGCTTCCTTAAATGAAGCCTGGGATCCCTCACCTCTGGGTCTTTGTGCATGCTGTTCCATCTGAGGGGATGTCTTTCCCTCCTTTCCCCCCAGGTACTCAGCTAACTCCTCTAGAGTCATCAGGAATTAGGTTTGCCACATTTTGCAAATGAAAATACAAAATGCTCAGTTAAATCTGAATTTCAGATAAATAATGCATGACTTTTTTAGTATGTCACAAATATCACATTAAATACAAGCATCCCGTATTTTATCTGGCAACCTTAGAGGCATCCAGCCCCGGCTCCCCCTTTTTTGAGGGCTCTCCCTGGCCTCCACCCCCACCCCTTAGATTCAATCACTCCCATCCCTGGCTCCCAAACACCCCTCTGCTTGCCCCTGCTGAGCATAAATACTGTTCTGAAATTGTTACCAACTAGAACGTGACCTCACTGACAGAGGGGACTGCATCTCAGTCTTCATTCAGAGTGTCTCCGTTTACCTGGGACAACCGTGGCCACAGGAAACGGTTAGGAAGGTTTCCTGACCGGAGAAATGAAAGCACACCCAGGAGGAAAAAGCAGACCAGCTGGGAAAGGAGGCAGCAGCTGAAACCTGGGCCCCAAAATGGGACGAATGCCTTCAATGCCTCCCCTTCCTACCCCACCCCCACCCTGCCTGTATCTGTCACATAGAGCCCAGCCTTAGGGAGCCTTAGGATTAGTGGGGCGGGGACGCAAGAAGAAATCAGAAGCTCTGGCTTCTGTTATTAGTCTCAAAAAGTCCCTTCAGGGGGGTTTCCAAAACAGCCTCGTGAGCGCTCCAATGGGAGCCCCGTGGGGAGCAGGCTGGGAGCAGAAGCCTCAGCCATAGACCCGACAGTGGCTGCGAGACGCCGCTGGCTAGGAGGTGCTCCAAAGGCCCGGAGGTACCGCTCCGCCCTGGAGAGCCATGCGAGTCCGGGCAGGTCACCTGACACTGAGCCCACCAGCGTCCACCCAGTTAGTGCCCAGACCCCTTCCAGTCCGGGAATGGTCCCTAGGGTCCCAGCAGGTAAGGGACCCGAAAGCAGTTAATTGTGTGGATTATCCGGACCCAAGATTTTGCTGTTCCTTACAACTGCCCCTCCTGGAATACTCGACCCACCAAGGAACTGGCCAGTGAAGAAACCCCTCCACTCTGCCTCTCTTGGTGGTGGGTTCTGTCTTTCCTTTGTGTAGGTGGTCTCTCCCTTCTCCCCCTCAGTCCCATTTAGTCCTTGTGCCACTGGTTTCAGGAGCTGAGGTTCTGCTGGGGCTGGTCAAAGGCATTCCCTAGCCTTGTACATACCAGCTGCGCTGATCGGGTAATACTTTCTGAACAGTCTCCCCACCCTGCCCGGGACTGGCCCCAGTCCCTTTGCACACTTGCTGCAGCCTCTAGACTGCCCCATTGGCACAAGGCACCCTTGCATCTGGCAGTTTCCAATGCTGACCTGCAGCCACAGAGACACTTCCTAAGTTTGACAAGAGCACTTTTCCTTTTTATAAGGCTTCTAATTACCTATTATTTCTGATGTTCTCTTTCATCAGCTTCCAGAACTCTGCTGGGAGCTCCAGACCAGGGGGAAGAATCTGGTTCTCACGAGTGTTGAGAGAGAGGCCCTGTGGTCGCCCTTGGATGTCACATCCTCTTCGCCAGGATGACTCTGTAATTAGAGAAAATAGATCTGACATTAGGCCAGGAATCAGAAGCTCTGGCTTCTGTCGTCAGTCCCAGGAGTGCCCCAGTATGTCACATCCAAGAAGGGCCTCGGCCTTGCCAGTCAGAAAGGAACGACAGGGCCTGGACCATAGCACGGCCAGCTGGCGTGCAGGAGGCAAGACAACCCCAGGCTCTGAGTTCTCATCTTCCCTGACAGCTCAGGGCTCTAACCGCTTATCGGTAACACATTTTAGGGCTTGATTGTGCTCCCCGCAATTCCCAAACCGCTTCCTCTGCATGTGCCTGCTAATTTATCAAGGGCCATATTTACTTGTAAGGCACAGCTCCTGCCTCTCTGTCCCATGCCTCCCAGGATGCATCTCTCCAGGTCCTACGGCCTCTCTTTCCACAGGACTTCCTGCCTGGATGCTCACCCTCTCCCTCAACCTAGTGAGGGGGCACTCAAGCTTTTGTCTAGCAGTTCTGCGGGACTCTGTCTGAAGCATGGTCGTATTACCTTCACAGAGTCCTTACATTTTACAGAAGGCGCAAAGAACAGTATTTGTAAAGCTGCCATAGTGCGCGATCTGTTAATGTTCCAGGGGCTTCTGAAGTAAAAGGTATGATTAGAAGGCAGGAACACTATTTTTAAGCCTATTAAAATGTCCCTTGGGTTTCATGATGACGGTGGGGGCTCAACACCTCAGTGGCTAACAGTGGATCCATTGTTATCCTGGCAAAAACCATCACATCATGTAGGGAAGTAACTATAGTAACCACATGAAGAGCCGTATTTCAGGATCCAGAATTCTGTTACCCACGTCACTTATTTCCTGCCACTGACGTCAGGTCCCAAGACAGCAGAGCACACAGGGGCTCGCCTGGGACCCGCACTCACCAGCAGTGTGGGTGCGGCTGGGCCCCCTCAGGAGCCCCTGGCCTCGGTGTCCTCAGCTGTAAAATGGAACGAGACCGCTCCTTGATAGGGTTGTTGTGACAAGGAATGAGGCGATTTTAGTATGAAAAACTGATAATGCACTGCCTGGCATGAAGTCGGTGCACAATAAGTTGGTAGCTCTTATTATAATAACTAATTGCTATACTGCTGATTTGAAACGATAAATATAGAACTGAAGCTCTGGCAGACAGCAGGAGAACTGAGCTTGTGGGTACATTTTGAGACTGATGATTTGATTGTTCCACCAAGGCCCCTCCAAACATCCATTTGTTTTGGTTGCAGGTTAAATACTGTCCACCTGGATAATCGCTATGAATAATTAAGGGACAGTGGCTTCTCCTGATGTTCTTACAGCACCCGCGTGATTAGCTAAATATGTCTTTTTTATAACCCTTTCTGTACTAAGACGTACAAAACCTAACATCATAAAACTAAGTTGCCAGAATGATGTAATTATACTAAATAATAAACAGGAAAGTAATAACTTTTTATTACTTGGGAAGCAGTGGTGTCCCCATCTTGGCTGTTTGGGTTTTGTTTTGTTTTTTTTTAAATGAATTTTGTTCCTGGAGTATAATATTCATATAGAAGTGTGTACCAAACATAAATGAACAGCCTGATGAATTTTTACAAAGTGAAACCGCATCACCAGGGCCCCAGAAACCCTGTCATGCCCGGTGCCGGCTGATCATTTCTTTTCCTCTTCCTCCTCTTTCTTCTTCAAGGCACAATTTATAAGCTCTGGAGCCACAGGGGCACACAGGCAGGGCCAACAGACCCCTCTGACAGACTAGAACCAGAATCATCCCCACCCTCACCTTGGCCTTCCTCACACCCCAGGGCTGAGGGCTGTGTGACCCTCAGTAGGTCCCCAAGGAGAGGGCGTATGTGCCCAGGCAAGGCTGCAGTGAGTGGTTTTACAACAGCTTAGCAGGGCAGACCCCTGGGCACAAAGTGCAGTTCTAGGAAAGAAAGCTTCATGTCTGTGGACTGAGACTCATACCCACTCTGGCAAGAACTTGGAGATGCGTGTGCCCAGGAGACGGGGCTGGTACACACACACGAGGTCCATGGACTGCAGCGAGGAGTAATAACAAACAAGGCAAACCTGGAATCCCACTATGGGCCACCACCTGGAGGGCAGCGCCCTGGTGGCCGACATTCAGAGGACTTTGGTCTAGGCTTGGGCACAAACAGGAAGCAAGTGAGGGAGGCGAGGAAAAAACAAACACACCCGGCGGAAAACCACCATTCGCAGCCTCTCACACCCAATTCTTACTAAACCCAGAGATTGGGGTTTGCAACTAGGGCTTTGCCATTAAAACTGTTATGCTTACGGTGGTGAAGGCATAAGGCTTGTGAATTTGTGAATTTGACACCACAGCCTTCTGTGCCAGCGTGTGACTAGATCTGCCCCTCCAGCGGGAAGAAGTCAGCTCACGTGTCACTATTAGCCCCCAGGCCCTGCGGTGAGTGTCAGCTCTTCTCCAGAAGCAACTGAACTACCGAATCCCTTTAAATCAGTGCTGACAGCCTAAACCGGAGTTCAAAAGCTTCAGGCCCCAGAGGCGGCCCTCTGTCTCAGGGCTGCACCAGGACGGGTGAATGGTTCTGATTCAAATGAACCAGAGCTCACATTTCACTGTTCTCATCGCCTTAACATTTACATTCTGAGAGCCTGGGGACTTGGATCTTTGAGGTACAGAACAGTAACCTTTGCTACAGTGAAGCCTCGGCTGTCTTCAAGCCGAACAAAAAATGGTGCTCTTTTTCCCCAGTCTAGCCTTGAGGCTGTCGGAAAGGTCAACACAGGGGAGGAGCTCTGTCGGCAGCGAAATCTCAGGAAATCTTAGAGCTTACAGGGACTGTGGTGCCCATCTAAGTCCACTCTGACATTTTATGCATGAGTCAACTCAGGCTGAGGAGAGATCAAGCAACTTTTGCAGAGGTCACATTGCTGGAGGTTGATGAACTGTAACTGAAGACCCCGTTACCTGGTTTTGCCTATTCACTCATTATCGTGAGCCTCTGCTGGTTACTATTTGGAGACTTCTGTAGTTGTATGGGGAGTGGGGAACAGGGCCCCATCTTTCCCTGTGAGAGACAGCAATGCTCCAAATAAATCCCTCTTCTCGTTTCCTGGAAGCAGGGATGGGACCTAGGACAGGTCACTCCCACCCTGATTACTCTGAATTTAATAGGACACTCAACCTCCAGCCTGACTGTAATGTCCAGACCGCCCAAAGATGCCAGGCTGGCTCTGCCTGGACAGCATACCACTCTGAGCAGTGTCAGGATCATCTTACCTGGTAACCGGGTCATTCATTCACCAACTTGCACAATGAATAGTTTGCCTAAAATTCAGACCTCTAGGAGTATTTTTGCATTCATTCAACTGCTGTATTCTTTTTTCTTTTTGTTTCTGGTTACCTTTTCAGTATTTTTAGGGATTTTTTCACCTGCTAAACTTTGTATTTCTGATTAAGTATTTATGGGCTGTGTCACCTTTTATAAACAATGAGATTGTTCTTTATTGCTGTGGGAGTCTTTTGCTAATAGGTGAACCATTGAACATACTGTAAGGGGCTTTTTTGCAAATTTGCCTAAAGACTCTTTGAAGTTGTATGTTTACATACAAGAAATCCTTACTGAAGTTGATATTCAAGGTATTCAATTCAGAATCATCCTAAATTTTAAACACAAAATGGAATGCCCTTAGTTAGCCATAATCTGACTTTAGCAATGGGGATGGGGTCAGTGCAGCTCCTAACAAGTGGTGGTAACTAATGTCTGGCTACAATGAATAAGGCTATACCTGACTAAATGAGCAACACTGGGTTCACATTCGATCCAAGTCCATAAACAAGTTATTCAGTTTGACTATAATCTTTAAACACAACTAACGTTTCCCAAAGGCCAGCTACCTGCCAAAGTGGGACTGAACACTGGTCTTATGTTTTCCCTTCAGTTGCTCTCCCTGACAGCAGGGCCTCCTCTTTGTTCACTACCGTGCCCCTGCTTTCCTACAGGAGATGCTCTAAAACTTGCTGCTAGTTGGCACTGTTGTTATGTAGCACCTCAAATGCACAGAAGAGGAAATTCATGCTCAGGAGTTGTTAGTGTCCAAAGACATCAAGAAGGGCAGCATGACCCTGGAGCCTAGGGGGAAGTGGACCTCACCCCTGTACTCTAACAGCCAATGCCTGGAGGGTGGTCAGGGTGCACAGACACATCCAAAACGTCTAATTGCCAGTTAGTGCTGGGGGACCGGGAGGCAGCTGTGTAGGTACAGAGGTCCTTGGGAGGAGATGGTTCTGAAATGAGTCTCTAAGGTCTCTAGGTGACTATTATTGAGGTTAGAACACTCCAGAATGAGCCCAGACTTAAATGGGAGCCTTGGGACAGTGGGCAGGGGCACAACAGTTAGCTTGATGGTGAGGAAAGAATCGTACTGAAAATCCCAGACCATAAACATGGGACCCTGTGAACCACCAAAGAGATTAGTCTTAACCTCTCTTTTTTCTTCATCTAATGTATATTACGCTTATCTTCTCTACAAATTAAAATGGTCTCCGATTCTCCTGAGCCTTTGGACTAGTGCCGTCACACTAACAGTAGTCAATAACATCTTGCATAAAAAGAAAACTGTGGTTGGAAATGTAAAATGGTATAGTACTCTGGAAAATAGTCTGGCAGTTCCTAAAAAACTAAGCAGACACTTATCCTACAACCCACGGCAGCTGCAGTCTTGGGCATTTATCCCAGAGAGGTGAAAACATATGTTCACAAAAACCTGTAAGTGCTTGTTCACAGCAGCTTTATCTGTTAGAGCTCTGAACCAGAAACAGCCAAAATGTCCTACAATAGGCCAATGACTAAACTGTGGCACATCCACACTACAGAATACTATTCAGCAATTAAAAGGAGACAACCTGGATAGGTCCCAAAGGCATTATGCTAAGTGAGAAAACAGTCTCGTGCTGATTCCATTTATATAATAGTCTCAAAATGACAAAATTTTAGATATAGAGAACTGATTAGCAGTT